GTGCATTTTTGCTGCTAATGCAACCATCATACCCCCAAATGTTGGGAGTCATTATCTGTGAGAGTGTACTGTCCTGTGGAAACCTTGGGGAAGCCTCCTGAGCCCCATGTGTGTCACAAGGTCTGGTAGGGACGGGTGTGGGTCGGGAAGTCTCCGATTCCCGTAAGAAAGCTGAACTGAAACCGCTGTGGAGGAGAGCTTTACCAGCAGCTGCCCCGAGAGTGCTGCGGGGGAAACTACCGTACTGTGCACACTACTGTGAGATAACCAACCGTAAGAGGATTCTAAACTGGTTTTATGGTTTTGTTCTTTTCTTTTCTTCTTCTTTTTAATGTTGGCTGCTATGTGGGTCAAAACAAGGAGCTGCTGTCTGCCAGACATTTAACCTCTTTGGCTTGATGCATTCATACCCTCTTTCGTGTTGTGCTTCTGCTTACTCCCACTCCTTCCTCCTCCCTAGCTGTAGGTTAGAAAACCAGTTGCTTCACAGCAAATGTGCGTGTTTGTTTTTGACAGTTACATTGGATAGAAAAAATACTAGAAAAGACGCATCAGCTTAGTGTTTCATTAACTGCTAGTTTTTGATGAAGTTGAGACTTCATGAGGTAGACGGTCTGGTCTGAGCGATGCTGAAGTGTTACTTCAAAATGTCCAGGGATTTGTAAGGCATGGGTGTACAACAATTACTGCAAAATGTTGTTAATTTTGTAGTGCATTTCAGGATGACGTGCAGTGTGTGGGTGGGATTTTTTGTTTTTGTTTGGGTTTTTTTTAAGTGCAATCTGTTTCCCTTCCTTTGGTCAGTTTTGTGGCACGGCAAAGGACTACGGTCATTTTGCCTTATCCATACCACTCATGATTTTATAGACTTCTAGCATATATAACCCATCAGCTAAACTTGTAGGGTTGCATTGTGCAGAGCATTGCTAGCTAACTGAGCCAGAATGGCACTGCCAAGTAGAGCTCCTCCAAGAAAATGTTCTCCAGAAGCGATGGGGTGATTTCACTTCCTTTCCTTGTGGGCCTTACTGCTGCAGCAGGAGAGCTGTATCCACCCATCTGCTTAACTCCAAAACTGTGTTTAGCATGATGTTTGTACTCATGAACGTCATGAGCTGCCCAACTACAGATCAGGACAGGAAAAACAAAGGGATGTCAGAGAAAGAAACTTGGAAATTTGCTGTACTAATACCTTCAGTCCCATTTTTGCTATGGGAGGTATCTGGCAGTAGGTGGTCACATAAGTCGTATACACATTATATTTTAGATATATACTGTTCAGTATATTTTTACATACTTTTTTTTTTTTTTTTTTAACAAAACCCACTGAAAACAGTGCAAGAAAATGTACTGAACTTTTTCTGGTGTGGTATAAAACATTTAATCAAGATGAGCATCTCACTTTCTAAATATCACATTAATTTGTAGCATGAATTTCTAACCGGAAGTCTTTTTGCAACCATGGAAATAGGAAGGTGGAAATACCAGTTATAAATTCAATTAGCTATACAAAATGACAGTAGCCCCAGATAAGTCTTAGCTCTTGCACATTCTTCAACCTTCCTCTTTATAAAATTCTCTCCTAAAAAGGAATTTAGTCATGTACTCTGAAAGGTAACAAATTCATGCTCTATTGAACCAAAGGAGGAAGCGTGCAAACGCTTAATGTGTTTTCAGAAAATATCTTCTTTTAAACAAAGGAAACATATCTTGTGTGTCTCTGTTAACTGTGTTTTTGATGGTATCAGTCAGCGCCTGGAGATTATAGCTCACAGTGTAGTCTAAAACCATCATCTTAAGTATCTCTGGCCTAGATATAGAGCAGTAACATCAATACCTTTCTGTAAACAAGTTTCACATTCTTCACTGATCTCTAATTTTGGATGGATTTCTGGTAGAGGATTGTCCATCTAGGATGTCTTGAAGTAGGCTAGGCTGAGGTAAGAGAGCCTAGAATTGTTGTAGCAGTAGTATTCGTATTTAGTAGCCTAGCTTATCCCTAATCAGAAGTGCATAAATTATATGTGATTGGTACTTATGTTTCCTGAAGTTGACCAGTAGTAGTTCAGTCATGACCTAATTGAGCCCTCATCCACTTCATTTTCTTTTAAGACCTGATCTCATTTGGACACAAGGTAATTAATTACATCAAAATAACACTCCCCACTCCTTAATGGCATACACTTACACCTCTACAAGAGGAAATGAGATGAGCACCCAACAGAGTCTTCCCATGACACAACTCTAAGGGGAGAAGAGCACTCAGCCAAAGTTACCCTGGCGGACTTCTTGTGCAGTAGAAGCTGATCTATACAAGAGTGACTTCATCTAGATATTTTAGGGAAAACAGACATTTCTGCAACCAATAATGGTGAGTGGAACAAAGCTGCTAAAAATGTACTGCAGTAGTTCTTGATCCCTTCATAGGATGATATATGAAAAAAAAACTTGTAGGATTTCCTCCCTCCCATCTTCATTCAAATCGAGGAAGACATTACTGGTCAAGACGATGGCTGAACTTTGTGTCCCATCGTCAGTCATGAATCCTGTCTGAACAGAAGCAAGAAAATTAGAGGACTCCAGGCATTACTAGAGTTTCCTCACTGTAGCGCTCTCAACTAGCTAGCCATCCTCCCCCATGCCTTGTCAAAAAAAAGAGAAAGAAAAAGGTGCAAAGGTGGACTTAGCAAGACTGCTAATATGAAAAGGTGAGTGTTCAAGCCAGTGTTTCTTATGACTTCTTTATAGATACCTGGAAGTCTAGAGAACAAAGCAGACAGTGCAGGCTGGCACTGAGCATTTTTTTTCAGAGCTAGTGAAAAACCCTCACTCTTACTCTGCAGCAGAGCCATTTCCTTACTAAAGCAGCCCCTAAAAACAAAACCAAAAAGTGGAACATCATAGTGTACGGGATTGCACAGGCCTATTGGTCTTACCTCCGTAGAACATAAACTCTTTGGAAATGCAATAACTAGAGAAAAAGAAAAATACTTTTCTTTAGATCTTTAATTATGACAGTAGGACTAGAAATATGTTTCTCTGAGTCCTGTGTCTGGTTGGTCTATTCTGCCTCTCAAAAGAGCAGAGGTAGTACGTGAATAATTTAGGTATTGTCAGTGTCCTAAGGGGTCACTGCAAAACCTGATAAGAGAAAATTTTATTTCATAAGAAAGTTCTGAAGGTTTCTGATTAATTACATTACCTGTAAAAGCTGACATTGCAAGTATGAGAACTACTAAAGGAATAGGTTCAAGGTTTTATACTGAAAAATACTCCAGCATGACTTACGTTTTTTACTCCACTTATGTTTAGGTAGTTGATTTTTCAACATTTTCAAATCAATGCTCTTCATACTTGTCATTGGTTCTAACTAGCTTCTTCCTTTCAGTCTTCCTCACCAGATAGAGCCACCATGCTTATGACTTTAAAAACCGGTGTTTTTTTCAGAGCCTGTTACTGGTTCTGCTGGTCTTAACAAGCAAACAAGTGACTTTCCTTTACCTGTAGCACTGTTGAGAAAGGCGTAAAAGACAATAGGACTGAAAAATGTCATCTTTGCATGACAGTATAGTTTGCCGCTATCAGTGGAGACTTCCAATCTCGTAAACAAGCAGACAATCTTGTTTTATCCCTAAGTTCCATTTTGGTGATGAGCGGACAAGATAGTGCTCTGTATTTTATCTAGCTTTTCCTGTTTAAACTCTTGTCCACAGTTAATAGCTTATTCTCATCTCTACTGTTTTAAGTGCTCTTAGAAGTACCTAAAAAGCCACAGAAGTTTCCAAGGTACATGGACTTTGGAAAAGTGAGCATGATCTTTACCAGAAGTACCCTAAGAGCATAGGGGGTCCAATCCTGCTGTAGAAATTGAAGAAGTTCAGCACAGAACTGAGCTCCTAACTTGCTGGAAATTGAATCCTCTCTGAATTGAGGAAACAAATCTCTTCCCTTTTTAGGTCCTTGTTCTTTTTTATTTCCTTTTTTTAAACTGCAGTTTGACTTGCTGGTGGTTTATTTCAGGGAAGAAGCCGAAACCGTCTCGTCCTGAATCCCCTACTACAACTCCAAACATATCTGTGAAAAAGAAAAACAAAGATGGAAAGGGTAAGTCAAAGAGTTGTCACTGAAGTTTTTAAAAGAACATTGTTTCTGAGTGACCTGTAAAAAGAAAACATTTGTGATGTAAAAAGAAAATGTTCGCTAATTTTCTTGTGATGTAAAACCAGGTCTTATGCTCAGGGGTAGTTAACATCTTATCTTAAGGCAAGTAAAAAATTAGTGCACGAGACTTCTTGGTGAAATACCCAGTTCCTGGGGGGAATAATGTATTTGTCACTTTAGTAGCAAGGGTTCTTGGGAACTCTTCAATCTCCCTCGGAGGCTGCTGTGTTTTGAGTGAAGTCCTGGGGAGTGCTTTGCATTGTGTTAGGGTTTCTTGGGCTGTGGTTATTTTGACAGATGATCTTTGAAAACGTTTTCCATCTGTGTGTGTCTAATTCTGCATGAGGAGCTAATCAAGGCTGCCAGTTGGCAGGAGGAAGTACCAAGCCCTAAATTTTGGGGGAAGCTATAACGCAGCTTGAAGACTTGGGCAAAAACCTTGCATTTTTGATACTTCTTTCATTCCTCCTGTTTTTAAAGGGAAGAAAGAAAATATATACCGCATAACTGATACAATAAATCATTTCCTCCAGACTGAACTGTTCAGTAGTGCCTGTCAGTTTTGTCAACAGCTCGGTTGCTTTGCTGTTGGGTCCAGCACCCGCACCCGTTCCCCGGGCTGGTGTTTGAATGGCAGCCTGATGCCCCGGCCCCCACCAAGTTCTGCTGTGCTCAGCGGGAGCTGGAAATGAGCCTCCCCTCTGTCACCGCAAGTGCCTGCATGCACGCCTGGGGACTGATGCGCTTGCATGCTGTGCAATACTTGCCAGGACAGAAGCCAGCCAAACCTGGAAGGTGGTGGCATAAGAATGTCAGACTCTCTTGAAATCAGAAAAATCACTACACTGACAAATGAGTATGGTTTTTTTTTCTTTTGAAGAGGGATTTTCTGCAGTAACAGGAAATAAAGACTTGTTTGCAAGCAATAAGTATTTAACAGGTTAATGCCAGCAATTTTGAGTGTGCATTGTTGCTGCTTTTTTTTTATAATTAAAACCTGATTTTTAAGTAAAAATGAAAGAGAAGTATCAGAGGAACCTCCAGGTAGTGCTCAAATGAAATAATAGAAAATATTAAAGCAGGTAGTCACAAAATTAAAAGGCAGAAGAGTCTAGTGTTTCTATCAATGATAGCAAGGATACACCATATTTCACATTTGTCCGTTGCTACAAAATTGCTAATTCAGAAGGAATTAAAAAGGAGTGTGTTGACTGAAACCACTGCCTGTTACGAAAAAAGCTACCACAAGAGCATTTGTTTAGCATTTTGAAGAACACAGAATTGAAGTAAAAGGGGTATTAATATAACCGGCCATGGCAGGAAAGCAGCTAGAAAATTATGAGAGTTGCCTGGCTCTCAGTATCCACAATGTTTCCCTAAGGAATGCTAAAATACCAAGCCCTCCATATAATTATTTGATGTGATGCATGGAGAAAACTGAGTTCTCTACATATGTCGTCTTCTGCTGTGACTCAGAGGAGGTTAAAAATTCTGCCTGTGAGTAAAGCAGACGGTTTTCGCAGACAGTCCTCTTCACAGTGATTTTCAGTGGCTAAACAGTGACAAATTTTCAGACTGCCTTGATGCCGCTGAGCATTTTTAGTCTAGACTACAACAAAAGCACCCTGGATTAAATGGTAAGTGGCTGGGAATGCTCTCACTCCTGGCTGACGTTGTGTCTTGCCTAAGCAGTCTTAACCTTTGCCTTCGGGGTATCTGAAGGCAAACAGGCTGACCGTTTCATGTTAGCTGGGAGACATCTGTTGCAAAGGCAGTGTTTTTTCTCTAGGGATGCTCACTTTTCAAGTTTCCACCTGCCGAAGGAGCTGTTAACATTTTGTACTGCCAGTGCTGATGACTTCGCTGAATATTTGCGAAATATAGATTATAATACAGTAGTATGGGAGCTTTAATTTGAAAGACACCTCCTCGTGTTGAAAAAAGTTCAGAGTGGTGGTTATTAAAGTTGAAAAAAGTGCCGGGTTAAACTGAAGCTAACAAAATAGATCCTGTCAACTTCTGATGCACTGGGCATCATTTTTTGTGAAACTGAAGAAATGTGCACATGTTGTCCTTGCTGTGCTTTTGCATGGCTACTTGTGGGAGGTGATACTTTCATACAAGAAGTTTTTTCTTCCTTTCTCAGACTAACAACAGATCACTAAGAAGCTTACGTGCAGCTTCAAGCGTCCAAAAGAACACCAGACACCAAAAGCCTTAAAAAAAAGCAGGAAAAGGGTCTCATTAGTTATATGTGTTTAGACTCCTTCAGTGTGCTTTCGGAAAAAAACAATACGCAAATTTTGTAGTAGTTTTAAGTATTTACAATCTGTGATTTTAATACTGTTTCTTTTTTATGTGGTAAACACTGAACAGATGTGATGGATTTCCATATATAAGTGTTTGTGCCTGCTTGTTTGTAAAATGAAATTTGAAAGTTGTCTAGGAGCAAGTGCAAGCGCTCACTGGATTAAAAAGAAATAAAAATCTTTTTCTGAACTTTATTCTTGAAGGTTTGCCTACCTCAGCATATGCCACTGATTGCCCCGTATAAATCTAATTGCTAAAAGTAAGGATTTTATTTAGCCTTTTAAAGGATTATAACACTCACCTCAATTCAGCAAAGTATTTAAGCAAGGGCTTAATTTCCAGCATTTTCAGAGGATGGACCTGAACATGTTCCTAATTGAGGTAAAGCAATAGGGACTGCTTCTGTAACTGGATTAGGCAGGAGGGAAGTGTGCACATAGGTGACTAACGGTATCTAACGTTGGTGGTTGGAATGGGGTGACTGTAGGTTGACTGGTACCTTACTCTGTACGTTACAGACAATGGCTAGGGTGTTTGGGCACCCAGATTGTAATAACTAACGAGAATCCCTTCCGTTGCCCTTCCATCACTATTTCCTAGTCTTGATGATTTATTACAGTGTATTCATAAAGATACCAGCTTCTTAATTTTTAGATTATTTACATCATTAATAAAATATGGTCAACTAATATTTTTTCTTTTTTTTTTTTCTGTGCACTGAAATACTTTTATCTTAGGAAATACAATTTATCTCTGGGAGTTCTTACTAGCACTGCTCCAGGACAAAGCTACGTGTCCTAAATATATCAAATGGACTCAAAGAGAGAAGGGCATTTTCAAACTGGTAGATTCCAAGGCTGTGTCCAGGTTGTGGGGAAAACACAAAAACAAACCTGACATGAATTACGAAACAATGGGTAGAGCTCTCAGGTATGTGCATTTTTAATAATAGACTGTTTCTGTTGCCTTAGTGTTTGCATGCATTAAATGCCTCATCTAATTTGTGTAACAACAGAAAAGAGTTAGTATTCTGTCCATTTGGGAAATGAAGAAATTATTTCGGCAAAATAAATAAGCTAACTAAAAGTAACCCTTACTAACCTCAACCCCAAATCAGTCACCTTCAGTCTCAGCTCAGACATTTTCAGTGCTGCTGCAAAAACTGCATCTTCACAGTCAGCCACAGACAAAGTAAGAGACTGAAGATTTCAAGTGGGGCAAGCCTTTTACATAAAATTCGAATCTCTTTCCTCCAAAAAATCCTCAATTCAGGTGTACTAATGAAGTTATTTCTACTTGGTGCAAATGATCCCGTTTCCAGTGGAAGATACAGTTTTAGAATTCAGGTCTGGTTGCGCTTCTCTAAACTTGAATATACAGACAGTTTTAAAACATCTTCTCATGTGCTTCTGCCTGTCAGGCTGGGATTTTTCTCATCCATAAAAGACTGCAAAATAAGCAGACATCCACGAAGATTCAGTCTTACCTGCTGATTGATAATTGTCCAACTGAGCAGCTATGCATTTCTTTTCATTTCCCTTCACCCCTCACCTCGGTGTGCATGATTTCAAATTGTCATATTAATTTGTAAATATAACAGAAGTAGCGCTCTCCTGTCCTATTCCCTTTGCTTTGTTGTAGCTAAAATGTCTGCCTGTGCTCACTGATGAATAAGCGTGAATTCAGGTAACTGAAAGAACTGTATGAGTCAAGAGGAGAATTACAAGTTTCATGCAACTTTTAAAGAGTATGAGTTGATAGCAGAGGTGCCAAATCACGGAGTTCTTCTCTTTCTCCTCAGAAGTTATCCGAGGTTGAAATTAAAAGGTGACAAGAAATACCAGTAAAAGAAAGTTGTTTGAGGAAAAAATACGCTATTAAATTGGCCACTCCTTTATAATGAAGAAACTAGGCACTTAAAATATTGTTTACTTGTTACTACTGGTCTTATTTTCTGGGGGTTTTGTTGCCTTTTTTTTTCCTTTTTTTTTGTTTTGTTTGGTTTTTGGCAAAAAACACTGTGTAACTTGATGTGTGTACACTTTAAACAGATACTATTACCAAAGAGGAATACTAGCTAAAGTAGAAGGTCAGCGCCTAGTATATCAATTTAAAGAAATGCCAAAAGATCTCGTCTATATAGATGATGAAGATGCGAGCCCTAGCACTGAATCATCAGATTCAACTCTGCTCTCAACTCCTGTGGCCAATAGAAACCAGCCGAGCAGATCTAGAGCGTCTGCAAACGCGGGAACAAAGGGAGGATCAACCACAGTGCTAAAAACAGGAAACTCGAAGCCTGCAAAGCTGAAGGAGCATGTAGAAGTTGTACAGCAGCAGACACCTGGCTTGACTTCAGAAGTTTTGAGGACAATGCAGTCTCCGCAGCCAGTACATCCTACTCAGCTTTTTCGGACAGTTCACGTAATGCAGCCATTGCAGTCCCTCACAGAAGGACATGCAGCTGTAACCAGTAACGTTCCGGATGAAACGTTAAATCCCTCGGTTCAGAATATAAGGTAAGAAAATGTACAGGAAATAAATGTATGAATAATAATAAATTCACTGTATGATGGCTAGATAGACTAGATTCTTTGTTGTGCTTCAAAAAAATGCTCATCTCCCAGTTTGGTTGAAGAGAAATGGTGTCTTTGTGGCTGATCCTAGGAATTGGGAGTTACTACAGCGTACTGCAACATGTACACTCATAAATGCTCTGCCTTTGGTGGAGGGAAGCGCATCTTTCCTGCGGTATTAGGCCTGACGCAAATCCTTTAGAGAGGAAAAATGCACAACTTCTCTTTTAAATTGGTATCATCAGTTCTGTCCTGCAGCAGAGGCAGTATTTTCATGGCTCTGCTTTTTTACTGACTGTTTGATGTCTTCACTTTTGAATTATACATGGTGTGTCTGCATGATCCCTTCAAAAAGATTTTCCTTCTTGCTTCTTAATTTTTCTTCCTAAGAATTTTTTTGTCATTTCTTTCATCTTTTGTAGTGTCCCCAGTTACAACAAGGGAAAGCTCCGTGTTATCTACTCTAGCATTTTTGTTGCTGTTACAAGAGCATGTTCTTTTGATTTTAGAAAACAGTTAACAGAATAATCTCATGGGAGCTGTGTATCTGCAGACTATTTTGGGAGACAGTCATGCTTCCACGCTTAATTTGTAAGTCAACTGGCTAACAGTACACGGAGTTTAAGCATCATGACTCCTTTGCACCTACCCATTAGTAGCAGCATCCTAATTGAAGAGGCTTTAAAAAACAATCACTTAAGCCTGGTTTCACCCTAGCCTGAGGCGTCCCCTGATGGATCTTGTTCATCTCCACTGACTACAAAAGACCTAAAACAAATAAATGTTCTTCTAATCTAGGCCTAGGCCCCTCACACACATTCTTAATGAATTATGAACATCACTTTTTTTTGAGATATGCTGTGTTAACATCACTGTTAAAACGGTTGTCATTTTGTGCTGCAAAATGGCAATAATGCTATTTCCTGCTCCCTTCCTCTGTTCGTTCCTTTGAAAATTACATCCAGAGCCACCAATAGATTTGGAGTGGTACTTACTATCTGGAGTTAACCATGCAATTTTGTCAGAGAGAAGTAATGACACTAATGAGACCAAATAATTTCTTTGTTTCCAAAAAATAAGTATTGCTCTCTCATCTCTGCTACTAGAGGGATGCTGTAAAAGCTAGTCGGTTATTAAAACTCCACTTATATAAAAGGAAAGTGCAGAATAGCAATAACAGCTAGGTTTTTCATAAGAACTGAAAGAAGAACTGAAACTGTTTAGATCAGCCTCCAGTGACTGATATAATAGAATCAATGAGAAATGCTTTAGGAGATAACCAAATAGTTGAGGAAGCTGAAGATTTATATATAGGAAATGACAAACCAAGACTGCAGCTTCAATCAAGAAAAAAAGTTGTGTCTTTTTTCCTTGGGGTAAAAAAACCTCAAACTTCAAAATTATCCCTGGACTTCCTAGTTTGAATCCTTTTTTTTTTATTATTATTCCCTTAAAAATTATGAAATGTTTTCATTCACGCTGCAATATGAAAAATTCACACTGAAAAGAGAAATTCACCGGTTAGTAAAGGCTGCAAGGGAATAAATACATTGGGCCATGAAAGCAAAAATATTTTTCATAGTTACTGGCAGGCACTGTAAAACAAACTGGAAAGAGTTACCATTTTTAAGTAGACAATGTCCGTTTTCATTTGTCTTCTAATTCTAAAATGCATGATTTGAAATCAAATTGTGTTTTGCTTATTGTTCTAACCAACTAGAATTAGTTCGAGATGCACATAGGGGAGGAGGGAAGGGTTATATTTGATCAGAAGTTTATGTGAAAGAGAATTATGAGGAATTTGACAAAAAAAAAAAAAACAGTTTTGGAATTAATTTAGAAAATTAATAAAAATCTGCATCAAGGTGATGTCTTTTAAGTTTTTGAAGCTTAGGAATGAAGCTACTCTGTACAGTGCAGTCCTATGATTTCAGGGTTGATGAAGGATTTAATTACTTGTAAAAATTGACTAGGGCAATACAGTGAAAGGAAACAAGTACAGACATAGTTGAAGCTATACAGTACCATTTAACTCAGTAGAATTACTGAGTTAATTAATTAAACATTAATAGGGGCAAAGTTCAGCAATTTTCAGAGTTAAATAGCTCCAGGCTAGACCTACACTAGATTGTATATCAAAAACAATATCAATAGTATAGATGGTATAAAAAATGGGAACAACAAACAGAAGTATCTGTAAGACCTAATAAGGCAGGCAGGCAAGAAGTCCAGCCTAACATTTGGAAAGCTGCTCAGTGACATTATGACATCCAGTTATTGCATTACATTATTTCACAATCGGACCTTGGGCAATAAGCTAAAGGGAAAAATGTAGTAGAGATGATACATGTGTGACGTTCGAATGAAGTAAAAACCTTAAAGCCTTAGGGTTCTGTATTGCATCGGTTCTAATCCATTGTTTGTAACTTAAAACATTATTCCACGAAGTCTTCAGTTGCACTTTCCTTAGCCAAGATGACAAAGTGTTTCAGATGAAGGAAAGAAAAAAAAAAAAGACCCATCGGATCTTTTCAGTACAGTACATAATTACTGAATGTTATAGAAGTATTGCTAATTAAGAAAGAATGTACTAAGGTGTCTGAGCAGTTAGAGTGAAAATAAAAACCACAAGCCAGATTTTTTTTTGGTGTGCTTTTAACCAGGATGGGCCAAGCTGCAAACCAAGGTGCTGATGAGTCCTGTGCAGTAGTCACTGCCCATTCCAGGCTCTAAAAATACAACTTATGACAGATAGATTTCTGCTCAGTTTCAAAATGCAAACTTCAGATAGTTTGGTGAGGTAGAATGGCACGTTGAACATTTTTTGGAGCATATGTTTTAGGTCTTGTTTTATAATAAGGCTAAAACAAAGGAACTGGATTTTGTGTTTGTTTGTTCAAAGAGCTGTAAATCTCTAGCAGTTTAACAAGTTTGTGTACATGTTCTGAATTGCTGCAGTGGGGCTTCCATAAGGGTTGAAATGAATGGTCTACGTGATTTGAAAATGTACAGCAGGTACGATTGCCATTATAGAATAAGAGCTGACAAACCTTCTGATGTATGCATACTCCCTTCGGGGTTGTGGTTGGAGTCACTTTATAGTAGTTTTATAAGGAAGCATGAGGACAAATAGCAACACTGGTTGCCAGTTGGTGTTCAGAGGTTGGGGCATGTAGATAGTCAAGGTCATTTGGGCGAAACAGCAACCAGCGTTTGGGAATGATCCTCAGAAGGTTTTCTGATACGTACTGGTTAGTGGTTGGGCTCTGCCTTGAAGTGTGAACATCTTGGACCCATATAATTTGTCTTGCACAATGTAGCTTCTAAAGTTTTATTCATGTAAATTTTCTTCCCTCTGCTTCATGGAAATAAATGGTCTTCCCTCTGCAGCAATTTGCTTCTGTTGTGTTGTGAGAAGAAAAAAAATACAGAGAAAATACTGAGGATTTTTGAGGTCAAAACAATTGACTTCTTAACACTTAACCATATCCTTCAGAGAAGAAGTCTGAACATGTGTCTTTGCTGCTGAGGCACTTGGTAAAAGAATCCTGTTTGAAGAATGTTGTGAAGGGCTCATGTCACCATCCCTCCCCTGTGCTAGGCAGCATTGACTGGTAAAGTCTGCTCCCAGAGCATCGCTGGGAGAGCGTGGCAGCCGTTCCCCAGGGCCTCTTTGCATTTCTCAAAGAAATGGGCATGCCAGTGAAAATCAGGGGTTGGTTCTTCACAGGAGACAGGCAGTGGCTTCATTTATAGCTGCACAAAGCTCGTGCAGAGTTTTGTGTACTTTGAGGGGAGGGTAGTGTTTTACTCTGAAGTGGAAAGGTTTTGGATGGCTTTTGATGGGCTTTTTATACAAGTTTTGGTGCTGCTGTATGCAGGGGAGACAAGGAGAAGTGTTGCTCGCCAGGGATAGATGCCTCTTCTTCAGCCCCAGTGCTTAAACAGAAAGGCTGTGATGTGGTGCTAACCCAAGCTTGGGAAAGGAGGCAGGAGCAGGGTCGGGTCATGCAAATGGGGTTTTGCTGACGAGGAAGACATCTAGTATCCCCAGTGGGAATATTCAGAATTGCAAACTCACTGCTGTTCTGCAGGAGTAACCGCTCTGGCTCAGTGGATGCAAGCACAGTTACTGCAGTCTCCGGTCGTGTAACTGGGAGCTGAATTCGGCACCGCATGTTTCCAGTGATAAGACAAAAATAAAAATGTCTGTCTGGATGAGCATTTGATTTCTAACTTTTTCCAATGAGCCAGCTTTTTTAAGGAAGAAAAAAAAAAAGTCTCTTTGAATTTAGCACTTGTAAAATTGTTCTGTTTAAACCAGAATAACTGACACAGGTTAACCAGAATATCCGGTTTATTGGAGTAATTGTGTTTTAGCTTGGAATTCAGAGGCGCTGAAGTAGGCCTGGGATTCAGCTCCATGTTCATTGGGTCATCCTAAGTGTAAAGGGCATCTTTTCTGTTGCTCCAGAAAGTGTACCTCTCCTGTAAGGCTTGGAACTTACCTTGTCATGGGTAGTCTAGGACATCATACAGGGCTCTAAGTTGCCTGCATTTGGGCAATTAAATCGCTCCCTTAAATGACTAGGGCTGCAGATAGAGATATGCATTTTCATTTACTTTTAATCTAGAGTAGTAGTGATTTAAGATGGAGTGTCTTCTGGATGGAGTGAGAAGAGGTTCTTCTGTTTCTAATGGTTCAGAGAAGATCATATTTTGAGTAATTTAAAATTATATGTCTCTATTTGTTATTGACTGTATGGGACATATCTGAATCTTCTAGCTGGCAGCTCTGTATACCAAGAAACTTGCAATTAGCTGATTGCTGACAGATCCTGTGCAATGCTTTAGCAGACTTCAGGTTTTAAACACAATTTTTCTATCAAAATGCAGTTTATTGTTTCTTTTCTGTATTTTCAAGTTGTCATTGTGATAGCTTG